TCAACCTGCCCTCAATCCGTGAAGCCCTTGCAAATTTTCAAGGCGAATGTGCACGGCGCTAGGGCGAGAGCCACATATTGAAAACCACCCGCCCTCAATCCGTGAAGTTTTCTTTTGCAATTTTCAATACGAATGTGCGCGGCGCTAGGGCGAGAGCCACATTTGAGAGCGACCCGCCTTCCATTTGTGAAACTGCTTCGGCTTGTTAAGCTTCAGGAGCATACGCGGTAAGGTCTAAGGTGAAACGCTTGGCACGCCTTTCAGATTGGCCTCGGGGTGCGACAGAAAGGAGGACAAGGAATGGAGAAGGAGGGGGAGGATGGGAAAAAGGCTGAGTCCGGGAGGAGGAGGAGGAGGAGGAGGAGGAGGAGGAGGAGGAGGAGGAGAAGCAGGAGGAGAAGGAGAAGGAGGAGTCGGAGTCGGAAGCCTGGGCAATTGGTGAGTCCCTTGCTCGAGAAAGCGGGGGCCCGTCTGGCATGACTTGCGAGTTCGGTAGCTGCTGGCGGCATAATCGGCATAGCAGGGGTCAGCCTGCTGGTCCCTGGCTTGGTTAAGACCTATGGGCCCGCTGCAGCTCGCTGCAGAGCTCCTTTTCAAATAAGAACGTTATGGAACGGTGGAGACTTATGGCACTGTGGCCCATCACCTCCGCTCGGGGTAGGAAACTCAAGTAACGGTCCCAGCATCGCGTGAAACCCAAAACTATTCCTTGGGTGCCAGTCCTCTCGCTGGACCGTCCACTGTGTCTGCAGCTAGCGTTCACCCCCATTCCCCACATCACCACATCCCCTCCGCTCCCCCCAATCCACGACTCGAGCACAACAAATCTCGAGCAGATTCGGCTCGCGCCACTGCCTCGCCACATGCAACAGTCCCCTGAGAGATTCAGCAGGGGATGCGACGAGGGTGGTGGGGATTCCCCTGGCGCGAGCCTCTCTCCATAGCAAGACTCCATGCCTGGTGGTCTGTGTCGTTCTGGGGCTGCATGATATCGCCCTTTGCCGACTATTCCGCCTGGCCTCGTGGCCTCTGTGGAGAGCACCGAAAAAGGAAGGACAATATATTCAAGCGAGACTCTTCTTTGTCTCGCGACGCCGTGTGTCTATACAAAATCTGCTCGCTTCTGCTGTCTCATTCTCGCTATCAACTCACGTGCTCGCTCACTCCCACGCCGAGCCATTTCTTGCAATCCAGATATGCTGATCGTCACATTGCTTGTCTCACTCGCAGTGCTGCCCTGCAGCTGCCTCTCCAGCGCCGAAGGCGGTGGTGCTCCGTACATCTGCCCCGCCTTGAGCTGCTTGAGTGCTTGGCAGGTTGCGATCTTCAGCTCTTGCACCGTGCAGCTGCCCATCTTGGTCGGCTCCTCCGTGTTGCCCCGTCGTATGACGTGTATCTCGTCCTCCCAGTTCTTGGTCCACGGCGTGGCTCCCGTCGGGTTGGACACGATGTGTATGTTCCCCTGGTTCGGCTGGCCAGGTTCGCTGTACGCATTCTTGACCCGGAAGTATGCCAGTACGTGCCCCTGACAAGGCCCTGGGATGCCCCTGACATGCTCCTGGAGACGTCCCAGTGTGGCCCTCATGGGGCAGAATCGTTGCTTCGAACCCTGCCTGCGACGGCCGCGTACCCACTCCGAATCTAGCCCCTCGACGCCCCGAAAGCGGTTCGAAACTGGGCCGCGTAAGGGCGCCTGGAGCCCTTGTGTCGCGTGATTCAGGTGCTGTGTCATGTAACGTGCTTGTGGTGCATACGAGTGTATGTGTAACCGTGGTACGTCGTCTACGAGTAATCCTATGCCGACATCCACCTCCGTCCTAGTAACTGGGCACGTGCCACGGGTCCATTTGTAGCTCACGTCGCAATCCGACAGGCCATCGTTCCATCTCTGCACAGCTGGAGAGTACACGTCAACAAAGTCTCCTGCTGCAAGCGAGTGGCCCATGGTCGTGCCTCTTTGCGGGTGAAAATTGGCTGCTCCATCCACCGCCTCTACACGTATTGTTGCATGTTGTGCTGATTGTTCTGCGCCAGCTGCGCGTTGTCTGCTCTATGTGTTTGGCTGTGTAGTTCTATGAGACTGTTTCTGCTTGTGCACGCAAAGGCGCTTGTGCCGTCGTAATTACTTATCGTGTGACTTAGCTTGGCTTTGCTTGTTCGCATCTCCAGCTGGCTGCCGCTAAGCTCAATATGCACCCCTCCCTCCTTTTCCTTCTCAGTCCACCGTGCGCGAAATCTCCCGGTGTTGGACTCCTCGAGGTCCTCTGAAGGTGCCCCAAATATGCGATCCCGAACGCGTTAAAGCAGTGAATGATGCGCTGGCCCTTGATCCCCTGCTTCTGATTGTTCTTACACTGCGAGAAGGTCTGGCTACATATGCTACTCAAGTGTATGGATTCAACCATTCGGATGAGCGCGAGCAGGTCGTGGTATCTTCTCGGAAGCACTTCCGGCACGAACTTTCGATGGTTCTCGTTGTTGTACCTCTTCGGGTCGATGCTCATGCAGAGGGCCTCGGCGAGTTCTCCTCAGGCGGGCCTTGCTCGACGTTTTGAGGCCCTCCTGAGGTACCGTACTTGACCCGCCCTGTCCTGCTCGATCGTGTCTACGATGTCGGGCGAGCTGTACAAGTGG